TAATTATATCTTTTTCTAAAGTAAATAAGTCAAGAAAGATAAGCATAAATGAATCATTCGACAAGTTTTTTCAAGTTTTTCAAATTAATTTGAAGAGAGAAAGTCGCGATAATTCTGTGATTCATCGGTAGAAAATCCGTCTATTTGTTTTAAATCTACTACCGGTGCATAAACACGCTTCTCCGACGCTTAACCGATGTTCCAACGTTTATTCGCTCGTTCACAGAGTAGAGTCCTTGTTCTCGAAACTGCCTCTTCATAAACTTTAGAATGAACAAACTAACGCTTTCACAAAGCAAAAAACTTTTCCGTAAATACATAAATTTTTTTTGAATAATCAAGCTCTATATCGATCTCGAAAATTAGAAATAATACCGTTGCAAAGAAATGTTAAATGGTGCAAACACAAAGTAATGAACGAGATTGAGATCGTATTGAATTATCATTTCGGTATGTTTTTATAAGATAACTAATTACTGAAATTTTGAAGGAAAATCGTTTTCAACAAATGGCACATCCTGACACACCTCCTTATTGGAATATCGAATAATAAATTCTAAATGGAAAATTTGCATCAGCGACCATTGAACGATTGATGATCGTCGTTAACTTTGCGCGTCTTTTGTCAAGTTTTTTGTTTTTGCTCAATCTCGATGCGATTTTCAACGGCAAAGAAACGAAAGTGCTGCTATTATTTCACATTAGCCGGTTACTTTTAGTCGGTGAGTTTATATCCGATGCTTTTATATCCGTTGTAACTTCGCCATTTTAATTAAAAGTTAAATAGCAAGCTATTTAATTAATAATGGAATATATAATACAATTCGTCATACAATTAAATTAATATGTATATAAGTATATGTATATAAGTATATATGTATGCATGTTGAAACCTACCGGTTAAACCTGTCTCCTAAAAATGTACAGCACGTGTGTTTTTTTGCAAAAAGTACAAACTGTTTGTACTGTTTGTACTTTTGGTGTGTTATATATTTTACATGATGTACCATAGGTCAAAAATTTGATGGATCAGCTTCACCAAGACTATTTCAATCATTATTCATATACCTATGTCACTTATGGATACGTTTTTATATGCGACATGCGTATGCAATAACGGCATTCATGGCATTCCGTGCACGGCAGCAGTCATTTCCGCATGTTACTCGCGAGGTATAGAAGCAACGCGGTAACGAGACATGCCAGGGCATGTCACTGCGAAAGCGCATAAAGCGAAACTAAAATAATTTTGGCGAAAGATTATTGCCAATTTTCATATCGAATCTAAGGAAACTGAAAAGTAACGCAACGAATTTTCTCCTCTCGCATCCTTGAACAAATTCCGCGAAGCAGGGCAGATCTATCGTTATGAATCCAGACACAGTGCTCGCTTCGTAGGACACATCTACGTATACACGACTACGTATACGCCAAGTATTTATGTATGGAACGTACATAGCCAAAGAGGTACAAACTCGTCACGCACGCATGCACATCCGTGTGGCCGACAGGCGCCACCGAGTCGAGACTGTGTGCGTATGTGCGTGCGTGCGTGCGTGCGTGCGTGCGTGCGTGCGTGCGTGCGTGCGTGCGTGCGTGCGTGCGTGCG